TTTTCTGTCGTAAAACTTACAGTTACAAGTCTAATTCACTGGAATCATGTGAACGATCAAAAGCCCATATCACCTGCAAAATTTTTCTTCTTTCGCGTTTACTTCAGAAAATTCTCCAAGAAAAGGAGAAAAATCGACATGGCAAGATACTATTCATCGTCATCAGTTAACGCAGCAAAGGAGAAGGGCCTGAACTTATATCCATCCCCACTGTAGAACTTGTTTTGAAATTCCACCCAATGAAGTCGAAGGGCGTGGAGGAAGGCACTGAGAGTCTCCATCATAAGTAGAATAAATGCTGTTGCAAAAGCAAAAACTCCCAGACCCACTAAGCGTATGATAAGATTGTCGTACCTGAATTGGCGGGGCATAAAATAGGCATCAATTTTGGCCCGATTACGAGTCAATCTCCTATGATGATCATGTGTAAAGATTCTATTCTTTTAACTTAATGGCAATTTCATTTGAGACAACACAATTATATGCCAGCAATGAAAAGAGGGGTTAACCGTAAATGCAAGTGCCAACACTACAAAGATTTGCACATTCTCAATTGCATGAATTTCTAGTATGCCTCACTGTTATTGAAATATGATATTTTGTAGCAAAAAGTTCAGCAACATTTGAATTTTATCGAAAAGATTTTTCATTCCCAAAGCTACCAGTGGCAAACATCAACTATGTCCACTTCCTAACACCCACAATTAAAATTTGCTCCTCATTTTCTGTTCAATTATCTGACTGTTTGTCTCAACTAGTTTGGTAAGCATATAAGCTAGCTTATAGCTTATTTGATTAGCTTATAAGCTCCATGTATTCAAATAAGTTTGGCTTCGTAGGACGAACTTTTTTAAAAAGCTCGAGCTTATATCATAAGCTTCCTTGGGTAACTTTTCAAATAAGCCCATTGATTTTTTTTTTTTTTTTTATATTTCAACTAGCTTATCGGCTAATCTTACCAAACACTTTTATCATATAAGTTAACTTTTCAGCCATAAGTCATAAGCTACCAGCTATAAGCTCGAAATTCACTTAAAAGCTATAAGCTAGCTTATCAGCTATGTTTACCAAACATAACCAAACATAACCTATATCTGCTAAAATAGCCGACTAGAATTCACGTAAAGATTCTGAAAACTGGGAGAGGACAGGAATAGTATCAAGTCTACATTTTCCCTTGGATTAATTCAGTTCAAATCACCATATCAGAAAGAAAAAATTGCTGAGAACCATAACAGAAACATCAACCGAGGACGCACAAACTCTACTAATACACAAGATTTCCACACAACTTACATTTTATGGCCATTTTACGGAAACTCGATTTCTTAGAAAAAACAGGACAAGATTTAGAGAAGACTTTCAATCAAAATAAATGCACGACAAGATTAGGAAACTGCATAGGGAATATTGTCAATGCGCCCAAGACACATCACATTCAAATCTATGAAAGTTAAAAAATAAAAATAAAAAAAAAATCAGTGCTCTCAAGTGTAACTTTTACGAATACTCACCCCCAGGCAAGAAGGAGAACCTTTTCATAGAAAACAGTGGACAGTTCCGAGTGAGCTAAACTGTAATACGTGACAAGGAAAATATTAGGAGTTGAAACCAAGAAAAAACAAGTCACATGGAGAAAAGCATGCTATGACAGGTCTACCTCAAAGCCCACAAACGGAGATATGATGCAGTATTAGAAACTGCACCTAATACAAACTCAATAGAATGTATCATCTGATGCACGAAAACTTCACTAAAATTGAATTCCTCGTGGCGTGGTTGTCTTGCGGAATCAGGCTCCTCATCATTATACATGTCAGAGGTTCCAAGAAGTCCATATGTCTGTCCTTGAAATCTCTTAGATATGCAAAAGAAAATGGCAAGTTAATCGCTAATTCAAGAGTTTCACACCTCCAAAACCTATATAGCTGTCGAATATAGACTGAAGCTGCTTGCGGACAAACAGAGGCAGTCCCGGGCAATATATTTGATTTCGTAAGGAAAATATAACATCATATGCCACCACCAATTAAAAAAAAAAAAGAACCAGATAAATGCTTGTATGAAGTAAATATAGGGTCTACTGTAATAGACCTTGAGTTTTAAAACAAAACATAAAAGCTGCCTTTTCTATAAGATGGGCACTAAGAAGAATTAGCAGAGAATTCCGAACCAGACTTTTCATTGAAGGAAGGCAAGTCAAAATGCTCGATGGTGAAAGGGTTGAGTAATGCCCATGTGTCTATTCTGGACTGCTATGAATCATAAATAATGCAATACTCTGAGATATAAGTAGGTGCTACTCCAGTTTGGACAAAAAGATAAATGTGCAACATTATTCATGAATGGAGAAGAAATCTTAAGCAGTAGAAAGTCAGGTGATAGAATGGGAATTGTGTTTGAAAAGCATCAAGTATAAATGCCTCCAGCTTTCAAAATGAATTATCTTACACCCTCTAGCAGGTTTCATAAGATAAGAAAAGCAGCCACACGAAAAACAGAAACAAAGAGTACCTCTGTGTGCTGTCTCTTTAAAATAAAAGGTTTTGGGAAAAGCATCCATGGGACAGCAATAATAGCCAAGAGCAACAATATAACCTGCAAAATTTTCACTAATGATTCACTTCTGCTTAACGTACACTATTTACATTTATAGTTATATGAAAGCAAAATCAGAAGATTTAATAAATGTCATACCTGAAGTACACCCTGACCCCAGAACAGCTTGTTTTCACCCAAGTCTTCAAAAGGACTTAAGAACATGTAAATCATCACATGGTAGAGATCTGCTTGAGAACCAGTGCACCATTTAATAATAATGAGAAGAGAAAGATATCCGAACAGGCTGTTCAGGAAGATCATCTGTGGCACAAACTGGTACCTGTTAAGATAACAACCGAGTAAGCCTCTAAATATGACTAAATGATGCCTATATATATATATATAGAGAGAGAGAGAGAGAGAGAGAGAGAGAGAGAGAGAGAGAGAGAGAGAGAGAGAGAGGTATACCTAATGTCAAGGGAGTTGCTGAAGTAGCGTGCATTGAAATAACTTAGTATAATTCCTAGATTCATCTGTGCTACACCAAACAAAATAGACATCTTCATCTTTAGAGAGTTCAGAAAAGGCAGCTCAGAACGGCTTCCGCGCCAACTTGGATCAACACCAAATGCATATGTATCTCTATCTTTGACTAAACCAACTGTATGAGCATCACTGTCAAAACAGAAACAGGGAACAACAGTATAAAATCTATAGCTAAAAGAAGAGATACCTGAGTATCACACCAGCGACACACAACAGTCAGAGTAGACTGACAATAGTGATAGAGAAAAATAGGGAACCCCGCTTGTTGGTGGAGGACCCAAATGAACAAGCAGCGAATATCATAAATTGATTCAAACTAGCAAGTAACTAACACCATCGACTGAGGCAAACAAACTTATTCAGCTGACTAACACCATCGACTGAGGCAAACAAAATTATTCAGCTGTCATAATCTAATGGTTAATAACATTCATTTACCTAATTCACTGGGCTCCTACTTAGTCAAATCCCAACAATACAGTAATTCCAGGACATGATATGGCTCTTAAATTGCAAAGGATTATTGATGTTGTATCTGGAAACTTGATAGAGAAATTAAGAACTTTACCTGCATGTAGCATCCCGGCATCTATAGGCAGAGCTGCCAAATATGTGAAAAGGAACGGAAAAGAATTCATTGTATATCAAGCCACAATAAATTGAGAAGAGGGACATCAAAAGGAGGACATATCGGCCACCAAATAGCATCTCCATGAAGCTGCCAAGTTTCTGAAAGAAATAGACATTTAAAATTACAAGAGGATATATAGAGAGAAAGCAGTAACTAGCACTGACAGAAATAAGCAGCACAATAAAAATAAGCCCAATGACTCAGAGGTGAACTTGCTGTTAATCATCACTAAAGTTAAACAAGTGGAGAGCAGATATATCCATTCTTTCTAGGACACCTTATATCTCTGCAAAGCGTAAAGGTAATCATGCCTCATCTGGTATAATATAGATTCAATGTCACAACAGCCATCGGTTACTGCTATAAAACTGATTCTGATTAGCTATGTTGTTTCAACTGCGACACAGGTGTCCGAAACTGGTAAATATTCAGGTGTTTGATCAATACCTGAGAACCAAGTCTTCTCTCACGGGCTATAAGGAACAAAGCTCCCAAGAGTAAGCATATGCCATGACCCCAATCCCCAAACATCACAGCGAAAAGAAATGGAAATGTAACAACAGTATAAACTGCAGGATTTGCCTCCTGATATTTAGCAACACTGCAAGAATAGTGTGTTAGTCAGTAGCTTACTTGACTTTTTAATTTCATATATATGTTGTAGTCAAAGATAGATATACAGTTCATAGACTTGCCATCAAGTTATTGCTTCCAACCTGATAGCATTAACACACATCATGTAAAACCACCACCAATTTCCTAACTATTAAATCATAAATATCATCAATGATTCATTGGTAATTTCTTTTTTTAAGGAACGCCTATAACTTTGATCATCAGATTTGAGTAGCTGGAGAAGCAAACACTCTTAGATTCCTCAGATAGCAACACCAAACATGCCCTGAACAATGACATCGGTCACACCAACGACATCGGTCAAACTTTCTAGGGTTACCCATCCCATAGTCTTATGATCTACCCCTTTAAAGCTGTGATGCTTAGTGCACGAACATGTGCACGTGCACACGCACTCATATATGCATTGTATTTCTATGAGTTCTGCTTCCATCAATCGGATCTTTTGAGCTTTCCTGTTAGACTGATATCCCCTATCTACAACATTGGCAAATAAGCTAAGAGACGTTTCATAAAACACTACTGAAAATGCCATCAATGCAAAATAAAAGGAGAAAAGGTTCGACTATAGAAAATGGCATCTTTGATCACAGAGACCGTCATAACCCAAGATTTCTTACTAGATTTGAACAATGAGAGGAAATTGCCACAAGGCCCTAAAACACATGAACTTAGCAATCAAATAACATTCTTAATGCAACCTACTGAACAACAGGATGCCATTATCTCCAAAAGAATTGATTATACATTCCCTTACCCATATGCATCAACAATTTCTTGATATGCATTGGTGAAATGGTTGGTTCTGAAGTACGTTGGAGGCAACTCAATTGAGTCCATCACATGAAATACCATACCCACTTGTGAATTACTATCGAAAGTTGCACGTTGCAAAGCTTCTTGAATCTGCAATTTTTGGTATTTTATCTTTCTAAGTTCTAACTAAAGTTTATAAAAAAGAAGTTAACTCTATGTTAATCTCAAGAATATACATAACATAGCACAAGTATATCTGAACCTTCGGTTTTGCAAATACTGGACACCAACCCTCACCAACCAGACACTTCTTTGTGACGTCAAAATTCAGCATATTTAATGTGTCATAAATAGCCTTTTCCCTTCTCACCTAGAAAGAGTTAAACAAACGAATATGAGTTCCTGCACTTGCATCCACAGATTTAAAGTGTTAAACAAAAAGAATCGAAGAATAAAAACTTACCATATTCATCCACTTTGTAAGATGAAACCCAATAGAAGTGAGAGCAGTATCCCGATGGCGTAGGCCAGCCTCTAAGGTAGTTTCCAACTCAGATAACCGTGACAAAACCTGAAAGCAAAAGGCTAATAAGAATGGCTCTACTACTATGCATCGACCAAATATAATGCAAAGTTGCATAAAAGCAGGATATGCCAGAAGATATAGAGATGAAAATAATCAGAAAACTATAATATAGAACATCAATTGAACCAATATGCATGTAGTTACAATGATTAACTTCGTACATTTGATAGAATGATACAGATTTTCTAACACGTACAAACTCATCTAACAGACATTGTAAGTTCAAAACGCATAAGTGATCATGCATAGAAGTTCTTCAGCTTGAGATGATCATGCATCTTAATCAACATACACATTAAATGCACTGTGAAGCAAACAAAAGCACATAAATGTAAAAGGAAAAGGAAAGTGAAAACAATTTTATTTTCTGTACATACTTCAGGGTGCACTAATGATAAAAAACCTGGGGAAACAGCGAAGTATGTCAAATAATAATACAACATGATACAAGTGTCCCTCAAAATATTCTTTAAGAAAAGTAATCAGTTCAGCATCATACTTCTCTAGTTATTTGCCTCCTCTTGGTCGTGTCCTCAGGAACTGGATAGCAGCTTGCGCCAAATGCTTCACAAATTTTCAGGACCTTTTTTCTTGCCTGCTCCCCAGAGAAGAATACCACAAAAACGGTTTTCTCTATCTGCAGGTATAAAGGTACACATCAGTTATTCAAATAACAGTCAAACTATTATAATAGAATAAAAAAAAAAAAAATGGTTTCGAAAGTGCATAGCATCCTTCTTTTTGGCTTTTTGATGGTTGGGCTTTCAAATAAAGAAATATACAGTTTCAGATAGGAAATTAGGAAATGACCATTTCATTTGATGCAGGATCCACAATTTGATCTTCTGCTGATGCCTGATTAAAAAGCATATTTCCCCTTGTAGTACGAAATAACATCCTCTCAAATCTTAGAACTTTAGACTTACAAATTATTCCACTTATAAATTTTACACCAGATTGGTCAGATGATCCAGGTTGCATTTCCTGCACTTAAAAGACTATGCATAAATACAGCATCTGCAAACTCACAACTCAAGTTCTCTGCCAATAAAGGATCATAGAAATCATTACCTGTTCAAGCAGTGATGCGGCATCACCATAATCATTGTTCGTATAGACATTCTCATCTAATTCTGTTTCTTGAGCTGCAGAATGATTCCCACCAGGCACAAGGAAGTCACCTGCCTGGAATTACCATTCAACATTTACATTGACGATCACCAATAAATAACAGTACAATCTACAAGAGGAATATGTTTCTCCGGGTCAGAAACAGGTGTGGGACACTGGTACATATCCGGGTGTGTGACACAGCTGACAAACTTAGATTCAACTAAATATGCATTTATGCATGTATTGAGCTTTTAATACAGTTACAAATAATCTGCATTTGACATACTTTTATACTGTTCAAGTAATTCTTTTACATAATATTTCCGATTGACCCAAGTCAATCAATTTTTTTTAATACTATTGGGGACTGGCTGGGAGGGGAGTCTAAACTCCTGATAAACTGTGAGGTACAATGACCAAACCTTGTACCAACAATTGCGGCACCCTTATCAAGGATATGAGAGTTGGCAATTAACCTACAAGATGGTAATCAATTGAACCATGAACTAATCTATTCCAATTTTTAATCATTTTCTTTCTCTGTTGCCTAAGGGATTTCTTAATTTTCCACCCTGTATCCTGTCCAATTTTTTAACATCTTAGTTGCCGGTATGAATGAAGAAAAAGTAGGAAAACCACTTCTGCATTGCTATGCTGCCTAGGTGAACGAAAAGAAGACTTAGTTTCCCATTGTGGTCAGATTCAATGACTCTTCTCCAATCTTCAATAATTTTTGCGATGTTTTCCTTAGACCGCTAACATAGTATACGTTACGTTTCAGGGATTAAGAGAAACTTCAGATATCCTTCAAAGGATCTTCCAAAAGGTTGGAATGTTCTGAGATTTTTATATGAAGAAAGTAATATGAATTAAAATGAAAAGATCAAAAAATAAAAACATAACTATACAATATCATTAGCATCATGAAAAGTAACACAATGAAGCCTCCTTCAAATAAAAGTCAAAACTTGATAATACTACAAGGGTCATACTTCAGGTTACATTTCAATACATTTGTGTATTCACAGACTTCACCTAAAATGTTTAGCGTTCTTTCACTGTGAAAATATGATTGTCACTTCACGAGCCTACAAAAGAAGATGGTATCATTAGTTTGCAAATGTACCTTCCGCAGCACCATCTTGAACTCAAGCAGCTCATTATATGTTTGCTGCAGTTTCTCGCTGTTACTGTTCATTTCAATCAGCTCATGTTCATGCTCAGCCAGTCGGACCTAAAACCAAAAGAGAGTAAAATAGAAGAAAAAATACAAATTCATTGCATGGAAAGCGATGAAAAGGTATTTCTAGCATAAGTATGTGAGTTTGTTGGCAAATGAAACTAAACTGTAGTACCCAGTGAGGAAAAAAAAAGAAGAAGAAGAAGAAGAAGAAGAAGAAGAAGAAGAAAGTGACCTCAAGTTCTTCTAATTCAATATCAGGTTGGGAAGCCGGATGAGTGGGTGCAATTAGACCAGCTTTCTGTATCTGATCTTTGAAAAAACGTAGCTTCCTGGACATCTCAGCACATCTTTTAACCTAGACAATGAAGCGAAATTTCTTAACCAAGGATAATGGTATCTGAAAATACTCATTTTCTTAAAAACGTAGTACCACTACCACATCTCCATGAACCAAAGAAGCTTCAGCATAATCACCAACCATCACAAGCAGCAATGCTTTCAAAGTGTTTACAGTTTGCATGACCTTTACCGTCAACATATCTTATAGTCTAGTGATATATTTCAAAGTGTCTACTAATATAAACAACATAAACCCATCCCAATAGTTTGCATCTCAAGTATAGTCATGTCACGTGCATTGGAACTTCAAAGTAATAAGGAAAAGGGGGATAGATTAGCATTGCCTAAAGTTGTCAGTTTATATACAAGTTTCAACTTCCCACAAGCTGAAAAGAGGATACCTGAAAAGTATCTTGCACTTATCAACAACAAATTGCTAAATAGTACCTGATTAACAAACGTTCTCTGGAAAGGACTTTTATCATCATTTAACTGCAATAGATAAAAAATGAAAATAAAAGAATGAGATACGTGCATCGATGTTAGCAAATCAAAGAATTAATAAAACTGACATAAGCATACAGAAAGCTTCCTTCAAAACACTGCACATACATCTAGCAGAAGTGTGCAGGAGGTTCCTCAATAGCATCACCAAAAGAAAAAAGAGGATGAACAATATCACCATTTACACTTTTAATAGTTAAGACTTATATTTAGAGCACGAATAAAACCATAAAAAGAGGATGAACAATATCACCATTTACACTTCCCAGCTAGCATTTTATACAGAAATGAATCAATCAAATGAAACCGCAAAATCACACAAACAAATAGTGAAAGGTTACGCACATCACGAAACTGGAGAAGACCAAGCTGGCCGAGATAAGAGACCGCGCGATGAGCTGACTCGACGGGGATGATAAGCTGAACAAACATCATCTTCTCGGATCGCATCAGATCCATGGCGGGCAAATTGTCGATGTACTCCATTTTCCATACAACCCCAGAAAAAAAAACCCGCCCTTATTTAGTGATATTTGATCGCTTTGGGTAAACCTTTTTCAGATCTGAATTCGATCACACTCACACCGACAAATCGGGGAGAGAGATGGATGTTCAGTGCGTTGTATATCAGAGACGTAGTGTCGGTATGAGATGTATAGGTTACAATTGATCGTATATGTGTACGTATTCACCGAGTAGATTCTACGGCGGTGGAGGGCTGGCAACGGTGGCGACCGCCATGCGAGATTTGGGAAGAAAGTGAAATGGTAGAAGGTACGTTGAAAATTCTATTCACGCTGTTTGAGTTGTTTATTCGCGTGAAAAAAAAAAATGTGGAATTTTTTCGTTATTTGTGGAGTTTACATACATTAATTAGTGAGATAATCTCTAAGCAAACATTGTATTTGTAAAATTAATGCATTTCTACTAAATGCTTTGAGTGCACTTCATTAAGTGGCTTTCACATCCTCATGGATTTTTATTTTTTTTTTAAAATGAATTAGACATCGCTTTTGATATCTAACTAGTATTCAACACTGTGCATTTGCACAGATGTAAATAAAGTATTGTGAGTTATTTGTATGCATATAATGATTAATTATTTTTCTTTCATTTTTTTGCATGCCAAATTTACAAATAAAGAAGTTGAAATATTTACTTTTTTTAAAAAAAATTACGTTTATCTGATTGGATGTAATGTATATTTTGGCACGTCTTTTTTTTTAATTATTTATCATTTATTTAGGAATTTTAAATACGTTTTTAATTTTAAAAAAAAAATTAATTTAAATGTAACCACAATAATAACATCTAATCACATTGTACGATCAACATATTATATGGTCAGCTGTCACTAATAAAAAACTTAAAATGATTTTTGTAATTTTGAAGTGATTAGTATTGATTATTTAATAATTAAATGAAAGATTAAATACATAAAAAATAATGGTTTTTGGAGGGAAAAGTATTAAATTGCCACATAGTTAAAATTAATTATGTTTTATTAAATACTATTGACTAGTAATTATATATATATATATATAGATTACGTCGTTTCGTGTCCCAACAGTGTCGTAATCGAACTGAACAAGTCGAGTTTGGCATTTCAAGCTTGTGCTCTTTTATATTCAAACATTGTTCCTATTCTTACAGTTATTTTTCGAGTGAATATTTGTGTTTGAATACGTTCGTTAATGGTTCGATAAAGTTTGAATTCGACAAATTTAGAAAATATATTTTTTTAGAATTGTAGGTTTAACTTCAAATTTGTTCGTTCAGACGAGTTCGAAAATAAAAATAAAATAAAATTATTTTTAATATTTTAGATTTATTTTATTAACAAATATCATATAAGTATATAAAAATAAAAGAAAATATATACTAAATTAATGTTCGCAAAAAATTATAGGACGTTCGCAAACGAGTCCGTATTTGTTCGACAATTAAACGAGCTTAATTTTTTGTCCAAACTCGACTCAAATAACAAATAAACGAGCTCTTATCGAACATAAACGAATTCGAACGAACTTTAGCTCGCGAACATTCCGTCCGTTAACCACTCTAATCACGGCAAGCCAACAAAACAAGGAGAATTATATATTTACGGTGTATTCAACAATTATAATCTTCTTCATATATAAGAATGTTATAATTTAAAATTAATAAATTGAAATTATGTAGTGTAGTATGCATAATAACACTGTTTAGTGTTTAATATTAGAAACTTCTGTTTGGTCCGCAGAATCTAAAACTTTCAGCTCAAAGAACACAAAACCCCATCAAATTTCTCGCTTTTCCTAATCGGAACTCAAGAAGAGAAGGGAAGATCTCTCTTGTATCTCCAAATTGGTTCTTCATTTGGCTTGCTCAACGCTTAACTATTCAAAAGTGTTCGTTTGCGACTCCGAATTGAAGGATTGCTTTGGTAATAGCTGAGGATTGTCGTAAAAGGTGAGTAAAGTTCGTAACTTTTTCATGTTTCACTTTGGTGGGCTTGCTGGATTTGGTCTTAAATAGTCGATTTCGTATGTTATAATCATGGGTTTTGAGAGTTTCTGGTCCGTGAGTCAATTGTCTGTTTATTGCCGCAAGTAAACTGTTTCTTGGGGAAGAGCTCGCTATAGATATGAATATATTTGTGTAGATGCCTATGGTTTTGTTCTCTGCATTTTCATATGTATGTGTGATTTTAAATCACATTATTGTTGATGGGTTGGGAGAGATTGTAACAACCGGATGAGGTAGAGGACTTGCTCGAGCCTTGGCCCGAGCATCTTAATGAAATTACAGTGTAGATTCATAGTTTTCGAGTTATTTTGCACTAACTTGTGAAACATAGTGAAGATTAATCTGGGATTTATGTAAAAACCGATTTCGAAATCAGTAACTGTGGAATTGTACGAAATTTCACAATTTTAAAGGACTAGTGGGTGATTTGTGTCTGTACATGTTTGGAAGTATGAGTTATGTTTTACTTGATGGAATCCTCAAGGAAGCGAATGATGATTTCGAGTTTTTGAGGAAAACTGAGACAGAAGATCGAACAGTACGAAGCATTGGTGTTAGGTCTGTAAGTTTGTGTACATATGGTGTGTCTTGAAATGGCTATAATTTTTTCTTTATAACTAAAATTTGGATTTAAAATTCCAGATTAGTAAAACTGTTGCTATAAAAATGCTGTATTCTTTAGTTTTCATATTTGGGAGTTGGGGTAAATAGTTTTCTAGTTACATGAAATTGGCTAAATTTTGTTTTTAGTACACTATATCGGTCATATTTCGTAAAAAGTCCTTGCTACTTTAATAAAAAATTGCCAACAGTGTACTAAAAATCATAACTAAAAAATGACCATTTTAGTACACTATGTTGGTTATTATACGAATTTTGATTAAAGTGACAACTTAGTGGATCATTTTTTAGGATGATGTATATGATGGACCTTTGTTGTTGTATATGATGGACCTTTTTTGGGAAAATGGCGTGGACTATTTTTGATGATGTAAAGAGAGGTAGAGGTCGGCCTAAACTCACTTGGGAAGTGATAAGTCGGTTAAGAGAGACCTTAAAAATTGGAATATCTCTAAAGGATTTAGCGGTGGATAGGAGCGCTTGGAGGCTAGCAATCAACGTGCCAGAACCGTGATTTTTGCTCCTTTCTCTTTTTCCCCAATCTCTTCCTTTTGTTATTGAGATATATTTGTGTTTCTCTTACTATTGGTTTTCTTGGGTTTCATCTCTAGCCTACCCCAACTTGTTTGAGACTAAAAGGCTATGTTGTTGTTGTTAGCGTGGACTATTTTTGAAATTTTGCCCATCAAATTCATATTTGCTATTCGTGTATAGCTTGATTATGTTATATATCTGAAGGTTTTAAGGTTAAACAAAGGTCCTTAAAACATAAACAAAACCTTGAAAACATCATTTTTTTTTCCTTTTTTTTTTTCTTTTAGGCAACAAAAAAGAAAAAAAATAAAAAAAATTTGCTCGAAACAGACATGGAAACTGCAAAAAACCCGGACGACAAAATCCTCAGCTACAACGATGTCGTCTTGCGGCGCTCGGACCTCGAAATCCTCTCGGGCCCACATTTCCTCAACGACCGTATAATTGAGTTTTACTTCAGCCACCTGGGGACCCGCTTCCCGAACAAAGAAGTCCTCCTCGTTCCGCCTTCCATTGCCTTCTGGATAAAAGAATGCCCGGATAACAATGACCTCCTTCGGGATTTCCTCAAACCCCTCAATCTACACACGAGAAAGCTGATCATCTTCCCGGTCAACGACAATGCTGATGTGGAGCTGGCGGGTGGCGGGTCCCACTGGAGCCTGCTGGCGTTTGTGAGAAGGCGCTGCTCAGGTGGCGACGGTGTTTTTGTCCACCACGACAGCTATGGGTCCCACAACGGAGAGCATGCGAGGAGGGTTTATTTGGCTGTGCGCAGGCACGTGGTAGGGGAGGAGGAGGAGGAGGCACGTGTGGCGGCGGCCTACGTGGAGCGGCCTATCGAGCCGGGGCAGACGAACGGGTACGACTGTGGGGTCTATGTGGCGGCTGTTGCGGAGGCTATATGCGAGTGGTGGTGGTGCCACGCGGGCGTGGGCCCCGCGGGAGGAGGGAAGGAGGATGGACTGTGGTTTCGGGAGTTGGATGAGAAGGTGAAGCAGTCGAGAGTGTCTCGGATGAGGGGCGAGATACTGGAGCTCGTGCGGGAAATGATGGCCGAGCGGTGAAAAACCGAGCGTGGCACGGCTCGTGGAGGTTTTTTTTTTTTTTTTTTTT